AGAATAATTTTAACTAGGAATCATATTATTTCCTAGAGTAGCTATGCACATAAACCTAGCTCTACTTTCTCCCGGAATTGTTACTCTACTTTTATGGAGGCTGTTAATTACTGGTGAAAAATCCTGGTATATAACAGATTCCTCCAACAAAAATCTTTGGACCTCCTTCATTTATGTGAACCGACTTGATTTTATGTGTAATTTATGTGTATTTTAATAATTAAATCCAGATTCTTTTTTCCTTGCTTTTGATGACAGGAAGAAAATCCCTACCATATGGTCTACTTCAGACACAAACTGTTTAAGTCCATGGTGAATTCCCTGGATCTGTAGAACATACATATACAGTTTACTTTTGATTGTGCACAGGGTTATGCAACTTAAGCTCTCAGATTTGGTCTGTGAATCCCTTCATTGTTCAATATAAGCTTTTAATATTGTGAATGCTGCTGGAATGCTTGGTACATGTCTCCAAAAGGCTTTTGCTAGTTGAAAGGGTATTGGGGCAAAGGCCTTAGAGTGTTGGAAAGTTAATTTGTATTGCTGTAACTCTAATCTATCTATAGAGGAGTCTCAGGGTTACAGAATTTTAAGTTTTGGAAGGATACAAGACAAAACTGGGCTCTGTCACTTTGTATTGATGCCATTTCTGCAAGCCTTAGCATGCAAATTTTGGACTCTGTAGCTTTTTTCTCCTTCTGTATAAAGCTCCTTCTACTAGTATGGAAGGTCCATTTCAGTAACAATAAACACCCAATTATTTGCAATACTTAAACGTGTATATCAATCTGATCTAATTTTAAAAAATTATACCAATTTAAATGAGTACATTACAATGGTAAACTTAAGAGCTTTTCAGCAGACAATTAAAATTAGCATGGGAACAGTAATTCAGTATGCAAAGGAAATACAAATACAAGGTCCAAGGATAATTATAAACCCCCCTCATGGCAGTTTTCATCCATGCTAACTGCATTCTTGGTTATGGTATTCAAAATGTTCTCCAACTGAAGGGAAACAAACAAACCAACAAACCCCAAAAGAGATGACCTGCATTAGAAACACTGTAGAATCTCTGCAGTTTAAAACTCACTGGGGAAAAAAAAAAAAAAAAAGAAAAAAAAAGAGAGAGACCCAAGAAGGATTCAGTTGCTCAGTGCTTTATTTCACAAAAGAATGAACATCTCAGCAAATGTGTAGTATCATACTTTCCACATATCAGCAGAGCCCAGGCAGCAGCGAAATGTTACTGTTCTCTATGCTTTACTGGCTGTTAGAAGGAAAAAAGTAAATTGAGCATAATGCTCAACTATAAATATTGTCAAATATATCCCTGTTTTCAGTGTGTTTTAATTAAAATAGATCTTATGCTGCCTCCTGTTGGTCACCTACAAACAGAAACATCTAAAATTAATCTCCACATTAGGAACTGCAGTCAGCACATTCTATAGCCTATACCTTACCTACTACCCTTTACTAACCAGAGGAGGTAAACAGTTTTCTTCACTGAGTAATACCATAAATAAATCTGACCCAGAAAATCTACTCAATTTTGTGAATATAACGAATTTTTAACAGCAGTAAACCGACTTACTACAAATGTATTTAGAATATAGAAAACAGATTAATTAGTCCTTAAATAATAATCATCAGGTCTGTGCAAACATAATCAATAAAACACCTGAATAATTGATATTTATTATAACAACTAAACCAGTATGATAACATTACCAAAGTGCCATAACATTTTGATAGCATTCTTTAAAAATTAAGATTATCCAATATAATCATCACTGGATAATAAACTCCCACATACAATATATATTATCTTCGTGTATATTATACTGGTCATGCTTATAATGTATTCTGTGACATAAAATAGAATACTATTAGAAATGTTTTGGTTACATCATTTAAGTGCAAATAGTAGAATATAATTTTACATGCATTTTGTATGTTTAAACATCACTCTATTTCAGTGAGAACATACATAGTCGTTAATCTAGTTACTATTTTTAGAGGAAGGTACTTTTTCATAAAGCTTTGATTCAAAGAGCTTTGGAAAGTCATAAAAGATTTTTAAAAACTCACTTTGCATTAATTTTGTGACTTTTGTTTTTATTGCATAAATGCTCTGTAGACTGAAAAATCTGTTTGATCCAGACTACAACAGTTACTCAAGCAAATAATTCTTTTTTTTTTTTGTGAAGTTCACTGAGAATTCTTACATCTTTAGCAATTAATCACAGAGTTTGGAAGATAGGTCCTTTCTTCTATGATAAAGCCTTGTTTTTAAACATGACTTCCTAACACTTCTGCTTCTTCTGCATTCAGTTCTGCTACCAGATTTAAAACTTGTGGCAAATGATCCTTTTTCCTTCTGTGAGAGCTGTAGTACAGGTTTACCTGCCTAGCTGCAGAAAATCAGTACCATTTCACAGTAACTTTTCTGTAAGCAATACTAGAAAGTAACTGACATTACTACATTATTTCCTGATCACTGAGTAAGAGCTCAACTCCCTGTGAAATCCATGAATGATTTTTCAGACTGGGAACTGACATTAGTTCCTGCACAAGTATAGTGTAGAATATTAAAGAAGCATGTCTATTTTCCCAATTCAGCTACAGTCAGTTTTCACTATCTATAATTCCTCTCTACTGAGGAATTTCTTACATACGTCATTGCTCTGTCTGATGTCAGATGCCAGAGTCTTCTAGCAAGTAGCTGGGTGGAAGACTGCCAAAAAGATCTGCTGTAGGCAAAAACTTAGAGGAAAGAGCATCACCTGAATGACTCACTCGCTTGCAGTTTATGTGACCCAGCAATCTGGTCATGACAGTGGCAATTAAAACACCCTTGCAAATCTCTAGTCTCTTTCAATTTGCATAGCTATTTATACCCATGTACTACGGGCATATTATGTCACTTCTCTCAATGCATAAATTGTATACTCATATTACTCAGGTATAAACACAACACAAATACATAAGCAAAGGTGAATTGGGCCTTTTATTCCAATGATGTGACAAGTTGCAATAATTAATGGTTAATGAAGTCTCTATGCTACCCTGAGTAGCTTCATTAAAACTAAAACTACCATTTTCCTATGTGTTTCGTTTTTTCCTATTGTTTCAGTAAGTAGGAATAGTATTCTTCCTCTCTCTACTCAATACATTTGCTTTGCACTAACAAAAAGTAGTTGTGTCCCAATATAAAAATACTTGCATTTCTGCAAGGTGATTGTAGAGGTTACCTAGCTACGTTTAGTTAAAATATGGAGACTTATTATGAAAAAAAACCAAAATAAATGGGGAAGTTGCCTGAAATACTGTAGCAAGCTACTTACTTCTACAGAACTGACACACATATTAATATACAGAAATTACTGAGTGGAAGGGTCCTGCTCTCTTCCAAATGTACATGATTTTATTTTACATGCTTATGAAAATTGCTATGATGAATGTTATCTAAATTTGTAAGGGTATCTCATAACAAATTACAGAGTCAGTCACAGAATCAGAACCTTCCATTGTTTACTGTTTAAAACAGAAGCCTGTTCTAGGCAATATTAAGCTTTAAGCATTAATATTCAGCTTGGGTTTTACAAAAAGTACATGCAGTAGTGATGTGATAATGAACTTACCACAGTTGTCTCAAGACATATGAAAGATGTCTCTGATGCCTCACTAAATTTTATTCATTATTTAAACTTCTTGAAAAGATGCGATTAAATGTTTAGAATCATTATTTTTGTCTGGCAGAAGACAACCTTACTACTTTCACAACACTTACAGGGAACATAAGGGCTCTCAGTGTCTTATCTGGATACCTGGTAAGAAAGGAAATTCTCAGGCTGTGGAAGAATCCAAATTAATTTATGAAACCTAGCTAATTTCAGTGTCCTCCTGTCAGAAAGAAGACTGACTTTGTAAGCATGAGATCAAATTTACTTCAGAATATATGGCTAGACTAATATTAGCACTAAAAGTCCATTACAATTTTAACATTATCATAGCTGACTATTTAAAGTTTATCAAGCAATATATTGTGTAGTGTTAACTGTGTAATATTTTAACATCTAAAAAATACAATGAAGTTCAAGATAAAGTGTTTGAATTAATTTAAACGACAAGAGATGATTTCTCACCTCAGAAATACTATTTACTATTGACTTTTAATATGGGGGTGTAGTTTTGTAACTTTGTATTTGATGTATGACAAGATACAAACTTTTCCCATAGTTAACGGAAGCAACAGCTACGGTTCAGTTTACAGCTTGCTGCTATAAGCAGCCTAGTGACTGCTTAGTAGGTAGCACTGAAGACTTCAGAGATGAAGACTTCTGATAGAAAACATCCTGAAGTGTTCTTTCTTTAGTTAGCAACATGACTGAAGCAAAGATATCACATGAATCATCTGTCCTGTAGAAATCTTACCTACCCTGCAGTATGTTATTGAAGTTTACTTTGCCACAGTTAATGGCATGGAAACAGAAAATAAAGCTACTACTAAGGCACAAGGATGGAGAAAACTGGCAAAACTGAAGAGCTGAAGTAAGATGCCAGGAATTATCAGTCTCTTCAAGTTAGATACCTGGTTTTAATATGTGAAGGTCACTTTGGCTCTTGTCCTTGCTAAGGTCATTGTGATAAGATAAAGCTGACAATGAATTCCTCTTACAGGTTTATGAACATAGAAAATCTGAATAACACTAATGAAAATGTCTTTTAAACTTCAGTTACACAGGGAAAACAGTATCACAGTCAGTTTTCTCATTTAGCAATTTGTCTATTGGGACAACTGTGAATATTACAGAAATAATGACACATATTACACAACTAATTCCTCATGAATATTCTTTTTGGAAAATTAATATAATTTTGAAAATTATTCTAATAATTACAGAGAAAAGTTGTATATAAAATTAAGTATATAATACTGTCTGTATAACGACTAGCATGAATGACATTTTAATGGAGTCTTCCAAAAGCAATCCTACAGCATTTAATCGAAACTGAAAATTTAAACAAATAAGTACATATTTCTCCATCTGTAAACTAATACTTAAAAACTATTCTACAATTTGTGCATTTAAATAGACTCTTTTTAACTTGGGAGTTTCAAAATTCTCCAGAGCAAATCGTCAGTACAGGTGACCAGGGGTCCCTATATTTATTAAACTGAATGACCTGACAGTAAAACTCAGTTAAGGCTCTTGGCATTGGCGAAACTTCTTCCCACTCAGACCTACTACTGTGGTAGACTTGAACTTCATCTGTGATTTCTTCTGGAGCATAATCACCACCTAGTATATAAATTTTGTCTTCTGTCCCAACTGCTCCTGCATTAAAGCCAGCGCATTCAAAAGATCCTTCCCCTTTCCAAACACAGGTTTCTGGGCAAAAACTGTAAACCTTGTAGGTGGAGAGATCACATATGTACAATGTGCAGTTCACTGGAACAGCTTTGATTAGAGTTGCATGGAAAAACTGCCCAAATTCTGCTACAAGCTCAGACCACTGATCAGTCATAGCATTATACTTAAAGAAACAGTCAAGGGATGGATTAAAGGCATCAGTAATCTCTACTTCTGAGCCAAGGACATAAATTATATTCTGGCATGCACTTGCTTCCGGATAGTAGATACCTCTTGGTAACTGGCTTACAGATTTCCAGTCTTTGGAAAGAGGGTTATAGGATTCTACATCCAAAAGACTCCGAGTTTCTTGAGCTCCTCTGGTCTTTCCACCTATCACAAAGAGCTGATTTAAGGTTACAACAGATGTGTGCATTGTCCTCGGTTTTTTCATAGCTGACACTATGGAGAATTCATTGCTGACTGGGCAGTAGCACCAGGTTTGGTCAGTGGCATCATGAAACGGTTCAGCAATATGAAGCCTGACAGTCCTATAACAATTACCCTTGCATCCTCCAGTTATAAATATTTTTTCTCCATAGCTAGACAAACTTGACCCTGGCAGATCAATCATGTGCGTATGTGGTAGTTCTTTCCATTTATCGGTTTTGATGTTGTAGCAGAACGTATGTCTGTTTTCTCCATCTTCATCAGTTTTATGAACAAATATATATTTTTCTGTTGTTGAAGGACGTGCATCTGGAAACAATCCACTGAAGTTCTGCACACTTTTAACGGCATCATTGATTATTACTGAGCAATTAGCACTCTTAAGTAAGTGCTCTTCAGAATGCAGAAAGTCCTGCAAAGTCTTTTCAGGTAACTGGTGTAATCTCACTTTTTTAATCAAATTAGGCAGGTATTTCTGCCGTGTTTCTAAGTTGTGTTTGGTCCATTGGAGGACAGCTTTCAACACTGATTCTTCCTCAGGGACATCTAGTTCATCAGCCTCGAGGCATTTTTGTAATATCTCAAAATTCATGTCCAAGAAGTCACTCGATCTGAGCAGCAATGAAAAGTGGTGTTGTACAAAATCTAGTGCATGATCAAACAAGCGGACAGACCCATAACTTTCTGATAGAGAAAGCAACTGTAAGCAATTCACAAGATCAATACTTTTTATTAGGAAGTCACTGCAAGCTTTGGAAAGGAGTGAAACTTGAAGAAATGACGACAGTTGGAACAGCATTTCCACATTATCATTGGTTATCTCTGTTTTTCCTGTGTAAGCATAATCAAGAAAAGCTTTCACTGCCTTGGGTGATAGGTTACTAATAGTAACATTGCCATCATCCCGTTCTTTCATATTAACTTCAAACATGGCTCTGTGAATAGAATACAGAAGATATACACACAAATTAAAGATTTAGCAAACAGATGAGAATACTGATGTGGAAGGAGACAATTACAGGCACTTAATAATGTGGGCTGGTCTAAAATTGGTCTAAATTGTGGAAGTTCTTATATGAACAATGAAATTACTTGGTGTGTTTGAAGAAAAAAAATATTGGTGATAAGAACATATTCAATGTGATGGCTTAACAAAATCATAGCGGCACCTGTGTTTTGTATGCATTTTCACAAATGGTGATGAAGTCTGCAGCTCTCAGCATGAGAGAATATATGAAATATTTCAGGACAGCATCAGTTTCAACTTTGGGAAAGAAAGCCTGATTTAAAAAAATACACAGTAAAAAAGCCCCATGAGTTAGGTCATGCAATGTGGATGAGTACATAAAATTATGTGGAAAAAAAACCCTTTCCAAATTGCAGGCTGAGCAAATGGCCAGACAGATGATGGGTGTAGTCCTCAGAAATAAAAGTAGGTAAGGGATAAATGAGGAGAAAAAACACAAGGAAACTTAATTCTTGCTTTAGAGTTGAAGAGAGATGTATGAGCACAAGCCAATGTCAGAGAAAAAATGAGATTTTGATATGATTGCATGATATAATGAAACTGTGCAGAAAGTAGATTGTGACTGAATACAAAGATGATGGTTGAAATTGCGGAATGAACTATTGACCAGGAGATTTGTGGAAATTTTATTACCACTTTAACTGCTTTATTCTAACTATGTAATTACATTTAACTCTTTCACACAATCTAACATGGCAAGATAAAATAATTAGTTTTACAAGCGGTAAGTGCAAGCAACAGAACAGTGCTGCAATATCCCTTGCTCTACCCTTCCAGAGACTAAGCCTCAAGCTAGGATAGCAGTGGCTTCTGAATATGACACAAGATAATAAGGGAGGAAGAGTTTGATAAATAATCAAATGCAAAGCAGAGAATCTGGAAATTAATAGATCATAGTTAATTCATACTAAAAAAAGTGTTATAGTTCAGTTATACACTTAGTATCTCTGTTGCATGGGATTTTTGAAATCTTGGTTTTTTCTGAAGCCAAAGAGGAAAAAAAACCATCCCTGTGTATAGCACATACTCCTTGGGATGTGAACACCTGGTAAAGGAGGAACTTGTCTGACTTCCCGAACAAGAACACAAAATTACAGTAAGACAACTGTGTCCCAAAGACCTCTTTGCATACTAAGTGATAATGCTTATAATCCTTTGCTCATTAACCCATGAGCTATGAAAGCTCTAATTCAGGAGTAAAATAGCAACTGAACAATACTAATAGAAGAAGAGCAATGTAGGCAAAGGCTTTGACTCTTAAAGCTAACAAGTGAGGATCAAAATGTTGCTGATTATTCGGTTTACACAATGAAGCCAAAACTAAGAGAAGTCCAAAGGCCAAGGAAGACAAAAGGTGTTCCATTTCAAAATGTTTGTAGTGGACCTAGGTACTTTTTATTCCTTGAAGGTAAAAAATGGGCCTTGCATTGCAGGATGACTTATGAACCTGATGGCTGCTATTATCTACCATATCAACCATTATGAGCAGGGAGAGATCTCTCCTGGCAGATTTTAATCTGAAGAGTCTGTAGGTAATGAAAAGGACACACACGTTTCCATGTGCTTAACTTCAGTTCTAAAAACTACCACTGGAAGCTATTTCATCCTAGTATTTCTTTCTACCAGATCATCTCGGTGCTGTCAAGCAGTTAAAGACAAATGAAAGTAGTCTTATGGGTCAGAGAAAAAAAACAAATCTGCTCCTACAGTGCAGAAAGTGCTCATTTCATCCACATTTCTTCTTTTTTCAGTAATTATTAGAACACATCTAGCTATCTTCTGTCATACATGGCAGACTCACTTAGACCATGGGATGTTCCAGGACATTTGAAAATAACACTCACCTATCTATGGGCAACCGAATTGAGGCTATTAACTCATTCCCAAGAGTCCATTTTTTCATTGTTAGAGTCTTAGTTTTGTTTTTAGTAAACTCTATTCAGAAACACCTTCAGTGTGGAACTGCAAGTTTGAACCTTTCTAATAAAAAGGTTAGCAAGGCTTATTTATAAATTAATATTCTGTATGTGAATGAAGACTGTCCCTTAAGAATACACAGCTTTAAGCACAGGAAGGAAGATCCATTTCATGCTGAAAGGCTGAAATCTCTAGTTTAGGAAAAATATGCATATCTATTTAAATACCTCTGAAGACAATTTCTACAATATTGACCACTCTTCTTGGACAAACAAAAACCAGTTCCATTCCAAAGTTATGTACAATTTATCCACAATTGCTCAGTACAAGATGTATTTGTAATCAATCATTTCACAACATGAATGTGTCAAAGTACATAGACTATCATATAAAAATTGATATAAAAACTGAAACAATATCCTTGCAGACCTTCAAGTACTGATACAGGCAACAGGTAACTCTTAAACATACATAACCTGTGTCAGTTCAACCTAACAGCAGAATCACACATTTATGATTTGAAACTTGCATTACAGAGTTTCAACTGCAGTCGGAATCTGATTCATAAAGTCCTCATGGCTTTCTGAAAATACTAAGAGCTGTATCTCGCATACCCCTAAAAGGATGTTTGAATGCTGTGCTCAAAACTCTGCAGATATATGTAAATTGTGATAATTTTTTTAACTTTTGGTTTGTTTGGTTGGGTTTTTTTAAATTCTATTCCCTCCCTCCTTCCCTCCCAGAGAACTTAGAATCTATTTCCTGCAAACTCACACCAAAATTAGGTTTACCTGAAAAAATCACTGCATGCTGCCAGTACGCAACGATGACAGGGAATTATTTCATCTTTCACACGAATTTTAAAATCAAAAAATATATTTTGTTCTCTGAACTTTTGTAGTACTTTTAGAATTTGTTGTCCATGACCTTCAGCCACTAAGGAATTGATTTTATTTTCAGGAACAGAAATTCCATTGCAAATAGGTCTGCTAATGTAATCCCGTTGATTGGCCATGTTTTCTTCAATCTATTCCTGAAATGGAAAAATAAGTCATTGATTCTACAGTCTTATCATTAAAAAAAACAAACTAAATCAATACACCATAAAACAAACAAAGAAGTTCCCAGCATTGAATTTAGTTTGTGTATCATATGCACAGTTAGAAATTTGTGTTACAAGTGACTTTGATAATACTACTACTTTGTAAAATATATTCATATGGCAAATTTTGTAAAGTAGATTATCTGCCATATATCAGAGAACAATTCTACAGATAATACCCACCTGTAAGAATTTTTTTAATAAAGTCCACGGGAAGCATATCAAGGAGTGTGTTTAATTGTCAATTAAGAGAAAGACTAGTCCTAGGCGTACCCTCAAAAAACCCCAAATTTTTACAATTTTATGTAAAATTAAGATGGAAAAAGAAAACTTAGTTACATATTTTACATTCCAAAAGGCTGATCACTCTACATCTTGTAGTGGAAGGGAGACAGAGGCTATTAGACTGCATCCTAAGTGGATTCCCATGAGGCATTCTGGACTGCAATAATGGCATACAAACAACACCAAGAGCCTGGCTGAATAACAGGATTGCTGGGGCTTACCAAACAGGGTCATTTAGAGACAGTTTTTTGACAGTGCACCTTTGAGTGCTTAGTCAATTGAAACTGATTTTGTCATGTACCTCTAGTCGTGTTAGGAAGCTTTGTGTTTGCCCACCCTAAGGTTCATTTACAGCGGCGTAAATTAACTGGCTTTAGAACACATTTAAATTTAAGACCATCTCCCTTTCAGCAGCCAAGTTTTTCTCTGGTGAAAATCCCTACACTGAAGTTTTTTTCTATGGTAAATTGGTTTGAACTGTTTTTTACAATGAAAATATTTTATACCACTTTGTCAATATAAAGAAACTTCAAACATGATTATATTTTATTTACACCTATTTAAAGAGCTATTTATTTATTGCAGATGCATAAATTGCCCTTACTGAAAATCTGAGTCAAGACTGCCTATTTTAAAACTTAAAGAAACATTCCAATTTTTTTTTATTCCAGGATTTTGCTTCCACAATTCCAATTAAAATCAGTAACAGATAATGGCCCACCTGAATTGACAGGGGACAAAATATTCCAAACAAAACCCAGAAACAAGAAAATACTGGTTTTGGTTTTTAATTTTCTAAAAAGGCTCATCTGATGACACGATATATTCAGCAGAAACTAAACCATCAGGCAGTCTTCTTCATGTGAGGTACTTTCACAGCAGACTGATCTATACTTTATCTAGTCAGGTAGCTCCAACCACAAATAGACCTCCATGTCTCCTGGAAGAGAAGAGATCCAGTGATCTTGCTGCCAGCACTGGAACCCTTGGAGCAGGCATCTTCTCCTTCCCATGGCCAGACAATCTCAACGTATTCACTCTTTCCATTCTAAGCCTGAGAAACTAGGAAAATACAGAAGAACAAGACCACCATTTATTCTGATAATGTATGGCCTCATAAACCCCAATTCCATAAATCATGAAACTTTTTCGTATGGTAGAATTCTCTAGAATACCTTTTTCTTATGAATTTAAAAGCCTGCTCCTCAAAAGGCTGAATCTTCAAAAGCAGAGTTGCTTCAATAACATTAGTTTCCCACATTTGAATGAAACTTTTTTTAAAAAGAAAGTGAATTTCAAAGTTTATTTGGCATCACATCAAATAACACTTCTTCTAAAAGAAACATAAACCTTTCTGCAAAATTCTAGAACTGACAATTGATACTAGACATCTTTCTCCACTTACATGTAATTTCTATAGCAAGCTCCGACCTACAATGTGCTTTCTGATGATAAAATTACCAATTTCAGTAATATTCGTATTTGTATTATGAACATGGAAACATCTACTGTAATCAAGTCAAACTATGCTATTTTAGGCAAGACATCATATGATCACTTTCACAGAAGCAATCAATGTTTCAGAAAGTTTTCTTTTACCACACTATTACCACAAAAACTCTATTCCAGTACATTGGTGTAGACTGTAAACCTCTTAATTACACATCAATTTATTAATGCTTACATATATTTGTTCTTCTGTTAAAATTGTTATTTGACTTAATTTTCCTTTGTATATTTATTCATTCTTACAATTATCAAGAGTATTGATATCCTGTCTCAACTTTCATTAGAATGAATAATTGTCAAACTTTCCAAGGTCCACTTATAAGGCTGAATTTCTGGGTTTCCTTATTGCTTGCAGTTTTCTCTTTACTCTGGTTTGATCCTAAATTTCTTTCACTGATACATGATTTGTTGTAAAACATTATGGTTCAGACGTCATTACTGTCTCACTAGACCAATTTCCAAGTCATCTAGTGCATCCTAATCCTAATCTCTAATAGCAGTATTTCATAATTTTCTAAAAAGCAAAATTCAGCAGTGTATCTTTAATGTTTTTTTCCACAATTAAGGAATATAGTAATGAACAGTGTGCAGTGACTTAGCCTAATTCACCCTTCTCTCTATTAAAAAAATACATATTAATAAATTTAATTTCTAGCTGTCTTGTAGCCAATTCCTGACTTGCTTTATAATTTTGGTATTAATGTAATACTTCACTGAATCTGCTGATGATTTTAGAGCCCTTCAAACTCTCTTAACAATTCAGCTAAAACTTGGTATGTTAAACAAGGCATTTATAATTATTTCATGCATTCTTCTACAAAGCCATATTAATTATCAGTAGGGGATTTTATAAATATTTGATCAGTAGGGGTTTTTATAAATATTTGATAAAAGTGTAAGAAATGTAGGGGGTGCAGATATACGTGGAAGAGGTCTGCAGCTCAGGAATGCTGGGCAACACCCCTCCTTTTATATGCTCCATAAACTCCCACAGGATTCCAATTACAAAGCCTGTCTTATTGTGGATTACCAAGAACCAAGCTCCAGTAAATGGTTCATTAGATCTAGGATCTCTTACTTTTCCTTTTTAAGACATGTCTGTGTGTTGTTCAGCAACCGGCCTTGCAGCCTCTCCTGGAACATGACACAAGTACTGCTGTACGTGATCCAATCTCTCACCACCTGGCAAAACCTCCCTGCTCCTCCTGGACCTTTATAGTCTTACACTGGCAAATGCCCCCTTAGCTATTAGCCTGCTTTTCTGAAAAAAAAAAACGAAAAAACAACAAACCAACAACTGGTTGACAAAGACAACTGAAAATAATTCCAAAACTAAACTCCCCTAAAGTTAAAATTTAAACATTTGCCCTGGCTTCTTTTTATTGGATAACACCTGAAACACAAGGCCAGTTGGCTGCTACAGTGAAAACTGATAGAAACTTCACAGTTATTAAGGTCAACCCCATATAACACATGTGTGGGGGACATATATGTACCTCTCAAAACTATCTGTACAGGTGTCCAGTTGAGGGGCCAGATTCTGCATGCCTGACAGTCAAGTGGCAAGCAATGGCCAGTCTGTGTAAGGTCACAGAGCAGCAAGCAGTTGAACAGAAGGCTGTGGATATGTCAGGACCCAGGACATCCCTCTGGCTGTCCTGAGCAGCCAAGACCCCTGCCAGAGGTCTCAGAGACCCTGGCACAGAGCCCAAAATGACTGTGGTTTTGATTATGACCTGTGGAGCAAGTTACCAACCTTAGATGAAGATCTGCAAGCCATGACAAATTAAGTAGAATGATAGTGAATTTATCATGAGGTGAAAAAGTAGATTTTGGGGTTTTTAGAATGGCGGTCCAAGGGGCAAGATGAAGGGATCTGGACATGTCCAGCCTTTCTCCTTCTTCTTCTTGGCCTCCATCTTCTGCTGTGATGTTGGCACTTTTAGATTGGTTTAGAGTAGAAGCTCACTAACATAGGCGATAGGAATTGGAAAGTAATTGTAAACGTTGTATACCTAGTTTTTAGTATAAAGACATAACACCGCCCCGGGGGCAGGCAAAGTGCCTCTGACTGTCTTGCTGAGGGGACCTCAGCAGGACAGGAGAAAGAATTTTATAGATAAGATACAATAAATAACCTTTAGACAGAGAAATGAAGAGCCCTGACTCTTTCTTCAAGTGCCGGGCTGGGAAAAGGGACTTTCCAACTTTTCTTGGGGTCACTCTGACAAGCTAGAGGCCCCGACAGGGATAGTAAGCTACTTTTGGCCATTATGGTGGATGAAATAAGGGACAGCCTGAGAGCTCGGAGGGTAAGAGCATTCTTATGATCTGTCACAGAATCCAGTAATAAGGTTACAGACTTCATTAGCTGCACTGTTTATAAGACCCCTCTGTTGTAGAAGCATAGAGTGGTTTGGGTTGGAAGGGCCATTAGGGATCACCTAGTTACAAGCCTTTGCCAGATTTAACACTGTCCTTTTCCCAGGACACTAAGGGATGGAGCAGTCTAGAACATAAAGAGCTCATTGACCCAGATGCCAGGTAACTACACTGAGAACTCTGAAAAGACCATAGTCAAAATATGAGATATACATATATTCCTCTTAGTATCTAAGCATTTGTAAAAAGCTACAAGAAAGTGTTTAACTGACCTTGAATCCATGCAAACAGCTGCCAAAACATCACTGAATTTCTAGTGGAACTTTTCACTTCACCAATGCTAATGCTCCCTTTCCAAAGATATATGGAGGATGTAACATATTTGATTGTTTTTTAGTTAGCACCGTCAACAATCCTTAAGTGTTCTTATAATTCTGTACCTAGAAGACACTGAAATGTGTAATTTATTTTCTTATACTTTTCCTATGGGAAGTTCAAATGACCTTTAGACATGAATTTAATAACCTGGATATATGTTGAATCCTAGATATTATTCTAAGAGACTATAAACACAGCATACTGTTAAACTCATAAAGGAGACTGTTGGGGTGTGTTAAGTTGGTATGTTCCGTTCCCCCTATTTTGTAATGGTTCTGCCCTGGTTGCAAATGTATCCTCTCCTGAACCCCTTCCCGGTTTCCTTAGAAACCAATGTATCTCCTTCTGCCAGTTTCCCTGACTTCTCCCCGGTCTCCCTGGAGACCAATGTATCTTCTTCCAAACCCTACCCCAGTTGCCTGCCAGTCACTCTGCACCCCCACCTTTTTCTCTGGAACATTCTAGCTAGGGCGTTGAGTGATTGGTTCAGGGGCTGCGGCCCCTCCCTTAGTTTGTCACTATTGGTGTTTCTTCTATGTCAATCCCTTGTACCTCACTCCCCCCTGGATTCCCATTTGTTCCTGAACGGTTTCCACCCCTGCCTCCCACACCCTTTATAACCTGATGTAACCCTTCCCTCTTCCTCTTTGGTTCCTGGCCTTCCCTGAATTTATAATAAACCCGGACTAGCCGCAACTGAAGAGTGCTCTCTTCTTTCCTGAGGGCTGAAGCTTTAACGTGACCACGTCCTCGCTCAAGGCAGCACTGCTACTATAACGTAGGGTGCTGACCTTAGGCGCTGTGCCTGACATTAAGGTCAGGATAGTGCCCCCCTGGCTGCAAGCAGTGCTGGCCTGCTTGCCAGGATGTCTCTAGCCACGCCGCTTCAGTTCTGGCGCCCAACGTGGGGCCTGAGAGCAGCTTCTGGCCTCGCTTCGCCTGAGCGCATCGCCTGAGGGCGTCTACAGACCCCGCGGGCAGGATCACGAAAGTCTCACTGGCCGCCAAACTACCCCAGTGGGAGCAGACCCAGTTCCAGTGGGTGGTGCTCCTGGGGGACCGGGAACGGCAGCTCCTCCTGCCCAAGGAGTCATTCACACTGCAGGACCCCTCGCTCCAGATTTCTTTTGGGCCCCATTGGATTTGTAAGTGCTTCTTCTTTTCTGCCCTGTCCTTTTAGCCCTTTTTATCCCTTTGCAGCACGGGTGGTGTCAAAGGTTTTTTCTTCTCTCTCTTCGCTGTGCAGCTTTATACTTCTGACCGGGGCTGGTGTGGGGCTCTTCCTTATTTTCTTCTGCAATTTTTCTGGAATGGAGGGCGGTTTGGGTTGCACCATTTAAGATCCTTCGTCATGGGTGCTAGACTTTCTGCAACCCAAAAGAGAGCTTATACCCAGGTTGCGGGAATCCTTGCTGGGGGGGGGGGGGGGGTTTAAAGTTCAAAAAAGGGAGTTACATAAGTTGATTAAATGGCTGTCTTCTCAATTTCCTGAAGTTTCCCCTGAACAAATATATGACCCTGATTTTTCGTATGGTGTCAATGTTAAATTACAAAATCCGGTTAGGTGAGGGGACTCCTCATTAACAAATATAATTTATTGGGTTTCTCAAATTAGATCTATATTAAAATCAAGTTCAAAGTTGGGAAGACAGCCTTCGTTTTCTAGTTTGTGCCCCAGTTCTACCTCTACCCCTGCTCCTAGCCCTTTTCCCTCCCCTGTCTGTCCTAAAGTTGGGATTTTGAGAGGAGCAGCTTGCTCCAGCCAGGCGCAGGGAGTCCATCATTCCCCTGGC